TATGAAGTGCTAAATTACAGCCACCTCGTTTAAACAAATTGATTTTTAATATAATTATAATATAATAATAATTTTCATCCCATAACAATAATGAAATGGGATTTTGTCAGTGGGATTTTTCACAACATGAGCATATATTAGCTTCGGGGCAAAGAAATCCATTTTTCGGCAGATAGATGTCTCGTAAAGTATCGATCAAACAATTTCAGATTTCTGCTCGTGACATTTCGCAGTAAAAAAATTATTTTTCTGCTTTTTGTTTGTTGCATTCAGTTGTGAGTTACAGGGTGTTAAAAATTGAAGTAAACAAACAGTCTTTCTTTGACAAAGGCGAAAATGCAAGCCAAGCCGCTAAAATTGTGAATGGTTCCGATGGTTATGATTCCGATACGTAGATTTCGCAGATTCCGTTCAGGAATTTTTGATGTTAAAGATGCACCTCATACAGTTAGCAGTCGCAACATCGCCCAGGAGATAAAAAATCTACAATAAAACTGTTTTAAACCATTTACAATAGACCAGAATTGGCCAACAGGAGAGGTGTCGTGTTCCACCAGGACAACGCTAGGCCACACACATCTGTAGTGATTCGCCAGAAACTTCGGGAGCTTGGTTGGGAAGTTTTAATGCATCCGCATTCAGTTCGGACTTAAAACCAAGTGATTATCATATTTTTCTTGCATTGCAAAATTTCTTTAATAATAAAAAATTGGTATCTAGGGAAGATTGTGAAAATCGACTACTATAGTTTTTTTTTTTGGAAATAGAGAGCAGGACATCTATGAGAGAGGCATTATGAAGTTACCTTTAAAATGACAACAAATCATACAACAAAACGGTACATATTTGGACACGGTACATATCGGACATTCCGAAGAATGTTAAATAAAGTCCTATAATTCATACAATAATGATGGATATTCTTTTTCCCCAACCTAAATTTTAAAATAGTCCTGCAAAAAATTGCTCACCCTATAAAAACCCGGTATACTAAATTACTGCAACCTGTAATATATGTTTAAACTCTTCTCTTCTATGGCGGAAAATCTAAAATTTTCTTAATATATATATTTTTTTACCCTCAAAAAGCCTGAAATGCAAAGCGATTTGGGTTGAAAATGTGTTTCCCTGTCAAAATACAGAAAATGGGGCGTAAGGGCTATATGGAATCTATATGAAAGCACATGGACCTATAATTATAAATTTCTTGAAAAATATTAGTCTCCATGAACCTGGAATCGAAATTTCAAAAACTTTTTTTGAAAAAATTATGCAAAAACATCAACGAAAATGGGTTGGAACCATTGGAAGAGGTTTTATCAAAACATGGATCTATATTGATATTAAATTTGTATATGAATATCAGCCTCTAAAAATCCGGCATGCAAATTGTAGCCCTTTTCTATGGAAAAAAGTTGGTTTCCATTTTCGGTTCGAAAATGGGGTGGTGCAGTTCTATGGGGCCTATACTATGACATGGGTTAAAATATATTTCTATAACATATATTTCTTATTTTTAATAGAGGAAATAGCAATTTATGTGTACAATTTAATAACATTATTTTAAATATTTCAAGCTCTGTCGGAATTTCAACAAGCAGGATTGGGGTCCACGGGGAATTTTTTGCCAAAAAATTGGGTTCATGGAGAGTTACGGCTAAAACCTTCTAAATGCTCAATATGTGGTGCCGATTTAGAGGGGGACTATACCAAAGATTGACCCAATATATTTATTTGCAATACCATAGAATATAAATTCCGAACAAAAACGCGGGGTGCGAAATTAAAGCAAATTCAGTTCGAAAATACGCCTAGAGCCATTAAAATATGGAATTGTAGCAGTACCGTTTTAAGATGGTGCTTTCAAAACATACTGGAAAAATGTGAGTATATTTTCGAAGTGGTTCTTCCACGAATTTGGATTTAGCTGGCCTTCGCATACCACGATTACATGATTCACCTGTGACGATTTTATTTGCAAGTCTTGTTTTTTTTTGAGCGATTGTCAAATTGCGCGGATCCAATGATCAATATTAACTTAACGGGATAAGAACATGATGGTAATTCTAAAAAAATATACCTGTAAATATTTACGTATAACACCCACAAATAATTGGTATCAATTCTAAGATCAACCATTCTTCTTGAATATATACGCCATAGAATCCAAAAGTCTGGGTCAATTTGACCGCTAAATGAGAAGACCCATACTTGTTCCTTGGATCCCCTTCTCCAAAAACAATAGTGGTCTTCTTTGGTCCAAACCGAATATGCAAAATGTTGTAACGGATGGTCCATACTTGTGGTTAGTAGGGGAGAGGGGGGCACCTTTTAAACGGGGGCACCTATGAAAAGCGCTCATAAAATCTTGGTTTAAATTTTTTACGACCCGTTACCACATTTTTGTATACGGCAATCTTGTTCTTTATCTGCGTAAACCACTTTGGCTAGCTTTTTCAGTTGTCGACAAATTGTACATGGGTTACCATGTTTTCGCAGTGTTATTGTAAACTCTTATTCTTTTGGTTGTAAGGGCGCAGGAAGAATTATGTGAAAGTTTTTTTCGTTAAACAAATTTTTTGCATTCCAATAATCATTTCAAACATAACTAATGTAATTTCTTTCATATATATTTATTACAAAAAAAGTTATTATACATTTCCGTAAAATGCCACGGGTGGGACACCTTTGAACATGCCCATTAAATTCGAGTAAAAAGCGGAGTTTTTAACTTTTGGCTTCGATTTCTCTAAATTTCAAATGGGATAATAAAACTACGAAATTAACTATATTTTTTCAACATTTTAATTTTTGTTTTTATGTCATTTTATGTTTTAATACATTTCGATCTGAATTTTTTTTATTTTCGAAAATTTGTGTATATATTTTTTAATAAATAAATTTCTGATATGTATGGATAAAATACATTTATACTTTAACATAAACACTGTACAAAACCAAGCCGTTTAAAAATGTCAAGCCTTGTTCAAAGGTGCCCCCCTGGGGAGCAGTTTTGAACACTTTGACTTCCTCCCTTAAAACAGCAATAAAATATTTACATCAAGCTTAAGGAGACCCCCCCATTCTCGGGGTCAAAAATTTTTTTGATTTAATTCGAATCTACACTGATTAAAGAATGTCTCTACAAAATTTCAAGTAAAAATCTCAAGAACTCTTGAAGATATAGCCGATTTATAGTGTCAGCATCAAGTGACGGCTGAAGGGCTTCTCAAACTTTAAGGGAACCCCACCCATTCTCGATTTTAATTTTTTAAGATTTTCAATGGGCTGGTAAATGAATACCAATGCTTGTTAAGGTTTGTAACTTTGCACATATATATTTGAAGATGTAAAAGAGAAGAAAAATAATTTACAAAAAAATTTTGTTATTGTTTTGTTGTTGTTTTTTGTAATTAAAGAAAAGTCCTTATTTTTTATAGCGGGCATGATAACTCCTCACTGGAACATCGGAATCCGAAAATTCCAACGGTGTTAGAAAGAGTACATGTCTGGCTCTCGTATGAACTAGGATTATTGACTTCGCTCTAAAATTAACAAAATGGCGGACCTTTGAAAAAATATTTTTGGAAAATCTCCGATTTTTGACCAAAAACCAAGTTAAAAAATAAGGAAGATCTTCACCGATTGGCTTTATCCTAGTTCATACGATAGCTATACACTCACAGAGAAACGTGTAAAAATTTGGAATCGATTGCGTTATTAGTTTTTGAGTTATCGTGCCCGCCATTCGCAAAAGAGAAAAACGCGTTTAAAGTTTGAGAAGCCCTTTAGCCGTCACTTGATGCTGACCCAATAAATCGGCTATATCTTCAAGAGTTCTTGAGATTTTCACTTGAAATTTTGTAAGGACATTCTTGAATTAGTGTAGATTCCAATTAAACGAGTTTTTCTCTAAACATTTTTTTGCGAATGGCGGGCACGATAACTCAAAAACTAATAACCCAATCGATTCCAAATTTTTACACGTTTCTCTGTGAGTGTATAGCTATCGTATGAACTAGGATAAAGCCAATCGGTGAAGATCTTTCTTATTTTTTAACTTGGGTTTTGGTCAAAAAACGGCGATTTTCCAAAAATATTTTTTCAAAGGTCCGCCATTTTGTTAATTTTAGAGCGAAGTCAATAATCCTAGTTCATACGAGAGCTAGGCATGTACTCTTCCTAACACCGTTGGAATTTTCGGATTCCGATGTTCCAGCGAGGAGTTATCATGCCCGCCATTAAAAATAAGGACTTTTCTTTAATTACAAAAAACAACAACAAAGCAATAACAAAAATTTTTTGTAAATTATTTTTCTTCCTTTTTAAATCTTCAAATATATATGTGCAAAGTTACGATCCTTAACAAGCATTGGAATTTATGTACCAGTCCATTTAAAATCTTAAAAATTAAAAAGTAAAAGTGGGAAGGTTTCCTTAATGTAAAAATAGTTTTAAGTTCCTACATCTAGCTCTGATCCGCATAGACTAATTTATAATAAATGAATTAAAATGAATTAAAGCGATATGTTTGGAGGGGTACAAATGTACCACGGTTATTAATCTTACGATTTTTTGGTTATTGGATATTTTGATTATTCTGGCTATATTTTATATTTCAAAAATTAAATTTTAAAAATTTTTCCAAAACAATTATCATTGATTAGGAATCTTCCAACCCTAAAATGTTCTAAATCGGCATACTAGTGTAATGGTTATTTTGTTAGCCCACAAGTATCACAAATGCAAACAAGAAAGGCGTTGAAGAGGGAAAAATTACGCAAAAAGAAGAAGAAGAAAAAGAAAACAATAAATATACAAATAGATTTATTAACTACACAATTATTTGCAAAAAGACACCAAGTTGTTTTTTCGTGTTATTTTCTCTTTATTTTATTTACTGGTATTGACCATTACTTTAATATTTCGTTTCGTTTTTCTTTTCTGTTTGATTTTATTTATGTTTTTTCGCTTCTCTCTTTGTCTACCTCTCGTTGCAGTTAAAAAGAAACACATTGACAGCAGCAACACCAATAAGGCCAAAGTCAAGGGCGGCATCATTACCAAAAATCCCATACAAACAGCAGCAACAACAACAACAACAACTGGAGGCGACAACAAGTGAAATGATTTCGCACTTTTGCTAAGTGCGAAATAATAATCACAATAGAAGCAAACAGTAAAAATTTATTTTGATAGTATTTCGCCATTTTATTATCATTCATTTTGGTATTTTTTCGTCTTCTGCCTCGTTGTTAACAATAATTGTGAGTATACAGTCGAGATGAAAGCTTTTAGTTGTAAGATATTTTTTGTTGCTTTTTTTTTGTTTATTTGTAATAAACATTTTGATGCGACAAACAAGTGAAATAATTTTTGGTGTACTTATGTAATTGAAGTGAAATAATTTTATTTGCTAAAATTTTGGAGAAAAATATTTTTTTAGATATTCTCACAATTGGGAGATTGTAGAACTCATGTCATTCAAAACTAAATAAGTAAGAACCCACGAAAATCAAGGATGCGTTGCTTCTAGGCAACGGTAAATGGAAGCTGCTTACCTTGGATAGTCTACATTAGTTCAATCTAGATAGAATCAATTTTATCCATAATAAAAATAACAATGACAACACATCTAACACAAGGACTAATCTTACACTTTTCCTATACCGTCCACATTTTCAATATATATTCAAGATTCTATGAATACCTCAGAAGTTATGTCCTTAAGATGCCAGTGACGAAAAACTTGAACATTTTAGTACATTTAGAGACATGTCTTCATTTGAGTCCGGTTTTTATACGTTAGGCTCGAGTGGATAGAAATAATGGAGTACATGACAAGATTTCAATATGTAATTATATTCTTAAATATCGTCCATGTATTGGGAAGTTTTGAATTCAACAGTCATAGACTGAAAATTCTCCTGACGCTGGCATATTTAGAAATATCTATATTTGAGATAATTTTTTTGATATCTTTGGCTCCAGACTTTACTTTATTGTGCAGAGAAATATACAGGAATATTATTTGGTTATTAGTTATGGCTTCAATGTTGTGATTACAGAAAAAACTGATCACTGATCGTTTGAGGATCAATAGGTTTGGAAAGGTGTAACAGTTTAATATAAGCCTAGATGTTGAATCTTATGACTTCAAAAAATTCTAATTTGTCGAAAAAAATTCTAATTTGATACTTCTCAAAGTAGTATAACTAAAATTCACATATTCGGATAGATGAAGGTCCACACCATTCACATAAATTTTATTTACTAAAATAACTCACAGAAGTATTGGAGATGTTAAAATAACTCACAGAGTTTGAAATGAAAAACTGGACCGATATTTATAATTTTTAATAGAGATATTTGGTACCCAATAAGAACCCAATGTAGCAAATTTCAGCGAATTCGGTTGAAAATCGCGCTCAAGAACCTGAAAATACCGAAAATTTGGGGTGCTCTTATATGGGGGCTACCAGAAAAAGTGGGCCGATATTTATAATTTTTAGTAGAGATATTTGGTACCCAATATGAACCCAATGTACCAAATTGCAGCGAATTCGGTTGAAAAGCGCGCTCAAGAACCCCAAAATACCGAAAATTGGGCGGTAACCTTATATGGGGGATATCCGAAAAAAATTTACCTATATTTATAATTTTTTGTGGAGAGGTTTGGTACCTACTAAGAACTCAAAATACTAAATTACAGCCAATTCGGTGGAAAAATACGATAAAAACCCCCAAAATACTGAAAATTAGGAGGTACCGTTATATGGGGCAACGAGAAAAAGTGGAGAAGTGCGTATTTTTAATTTTTTATACCCTTCACCATAGTATGGAGGGTATATTAATTTTGTCATTCCGTTTGTAACTCATCAAAATATTCATTTCCGACCCTATAAAGTATATTCTTGATCAGGGTAAAATTCTAAGACGATCTAGCCATGTCCGTCCGTCCGTCTGTTGTAATCACGCTATCTTCTGAAGGAATTGAGATAGGGTGCTGAAATTTGGGATAGGGTTGTCTTTTGTCTGCAGGCAGGTCAAGTTCGAAGGTGGGATATATCGGTCCACGTTTAGGCATATCTCCCATATATGGGTACCCCCCAATTTTCGGTATTTTGGGGTTCTTGACCGTGTTTTTCAACCGAATTCGCTGAAATTTGGTACGTTGGGTTCTTAATTGGTACTAAATGTCTCCACTTTTTCTGGTAGCCCCCATTTAACGGTACCTTCTAACTTTCAGTATTTTGGGGGTTTTGATCGTATTTTTACATCGAATTGTAAGTAACAAATTTCTCCACAAAAAATTATGAATATAGGTTCATTTTGGGGTTCTTGAGCGCGTTTTTCAACCGAATTCGCTGCAATTTGTTTTTTATGGTCTAAGGTAACAAATCTCCCTACAAATAATTATTAATATTCGCCCCCTTTTTGGGGTAGTCCCCATATAACCCCCTTTTTTATATTAAAATAGTTATCTAATTTGTTACGCGTTTTGGGTTTGGTTCTAAGAGTCTGTCGTAAGTATTTAACCTGCGGAGGATATCGAGATAAAGTTAGAAAGTAATGAATTATACATGAACTATAACCCGCATTTAGGCCTAGCACCTGTGTGGGAGGTATTTGAGGGAGTGGACCGATAGTCCACATTTTCGAACCTGAACTAAGTTTGGAAGAATAATAAGATAGGCACAGGTTGGATGAAATCAACATTTTCTGGAACATGGTTCACATTATGGTTTACATAATTGCGTTGTAGAAATGTCGGTATAGGTCCACTTTTTGGTATTTTCCCTACATTTTCATTTCAACTACCTTTTAGTATATCTATGGTGGAGGGTATCCAAAGTTCGGCCCGGCCGAACTTAACGCTTTTCCACTTGTAGTTTTTTGAAAATAAAATTTCTGTTATTGAAAAATTTGTATGTCTGTAAAAGTAAACATTTTTCGATCAATTAAAAAAATGTTTTCAACCATTTTCGCCGTTTTCAATTGGCACAGATGCAAATAAAGTCCTTGCCTATTTGGGTAATACGGACGTCTAATAAACCCTTTAAAGGTGAGAAGGTGAGTATTTTTGTACGGAGCGCAATAAATTAGGTACGACCCTTAAATAAACAAACCCTACTGGAGTAAAATTCCATATTTTGAGGGTTTTAAATATTGAAAATCTCAACTGTATTTAAGCATGTTGCTCACCTATATAAAAGTTTTCGTATAAATTAGACATTTTTAGGCAAATTTTCCAATAGAAATGGATTAATTTGACATTTCAAAGAAATATCCCGTACTGCAAGAATCTACTAATTTTTACTATTTTTTTCGATTACATAAAGGAAAAATTGTTATTGTAGTAAAAAATGTTACATTCTTGCAGTTTCTGGAACAGACCAAAAGCCCACATTCACAACAATTTTAATATTTTGAAATGTCCCATATAAAATGATTCAACAAATTTGAAACATTTCATCAAAATATTAGATGAAACGTGTGTAATCGACTTCAAATTTTCTGCAACGGATCTGGTTCACCAATATTTTGATGAACCAATACCCATAAGGCTGAGGGTATAAATCAACGTATATGTATATCATTTTAAAGCTAACATCATAACCCGGTAAAAAAATCGGGTTTATTATCTGAAAATTCGGTTCAAAAATTTAGCGATTCAGATCGGTCCACGGCAAATAAATGATATTAAAGATTACATCATAATGATATATATTTATTTAGTGTTCGTAGATGGTTTTTTCGAAGAAGGATCAGCTACAATTGGAAAAGGATTTTTGGAATTCGTTTATGAACACGAAAAAAGATTTCGGATTTTGGAAAACAGTGTGTGTGTGTTTTTTTTTTAATTTAAATTTAAATTGTTTAATTTAATTGTTTAAATTTAACTTGTTTGGACCATGTAAGGTATGGCGACCTAAAGGACGGACGAGGCTCTGCAAGGATTATGGATGAGATTTATTATTTAAGACAAACCACCCCCCCCCCCCCCCACCATTCTTGATTTTAAATTTTCAAGATTGGGATTGTAAATGAATACCAATGCATGTTATGGTTTGTAACTTTACACATATATAATTGAAGATTTTAAAGAGATGAAAAATAATTTAAACTTTGTTTCGAAATTCCCCTTTTTTACCACAAACTAAGTTAACAAATAAATAATAGTTCTTTACCGATTGGCTTTATCTTATTTCATATGATAGGTATACACTGCCAGAGAAACGTGTCAACATTTGTAACCGATCGGATTATTAAATTTTGAGTTATCATGTCCGACATTCGTAAAAACACTGCTGCGAGAAAAATGCGTTTAAATTTTGAGAACCCTCTTGCCTCTTGATGCTAACACAATAAATCGGCTATATCTTCAAAAATTCTTGAGATTTTCACTTGAAATTTTATAGGGACATTATTGAATTAGTGTAGGTTCCAATTAAATCAAAATACAAAATTCAATTTTTTGAAATCGAGAATTGGGGGGAGCCTCTAAACGTCGAAGGAGCCCTAGGCTTAGCATAATAATAGGAAAACGAGTGGACATGAGAATTAAAAAATATCGTGCTTCTACATCAAAAGCTGCTAATAGCAAATCTGTGGTTTATCATTATCAGCTATACGCATTTCCAATAGAAATGTCTTCAATTTAACCTTTCGGGTTCTCAGAGTTTTATATTTACCAATATTTTGGAACATACCGTATTAAGGTTCTGCCCCATTCTTAGTCTAGGTCCTAGCCGCATTTTCCATATTATGTAGTTCATTATATATTATATTTAATTTAATTACCCTTTGTGAGGCCATCTCCATCTTCGGATACAATCAAATCGGAAAATACGTTTAATATTAAAAAATCATATAGCGGTTACGGCTTTTTTGGGTTTTTTTATCGTACTTGGCTACAATTTCTCTATCATTGGGTGTCAAATCTTAACCGGTCTGAATGTGAAATGAACATATCCCTGACATGGCTCCAAATTACTCTTCTTTATTTACGCATGTCAAGACAAATGTGTTATCAACGGTATTCGTCGGCAGTGGAAGTGTTCAAAAAACATTTTTGGAATAGAAAACGTTTTTCGATAATTGGCTTGAGTGCATGAAAAGAGT